TGAATTGTGGTTAGTGAAGTTCAAGATGCCCTTTCATTTTGACTGACTCCAGCCTTGCGACAAGATGCGGCCGCCTTGAAATCAGATCGGGTTACAACGCTAATATAGCCTTGTAACTCGTGCTCCGGCTATGATCTTGCTACAACAACCAACATAAGGACGTAAGTGTTGGTATCACTCTGTCGTAGTACGTACAATCAAGTAGTCTGCGTGAGCCAAAGTATAGTAATAAGTAGTAGTATTATCTGTTATATCGTAGCTAGCTTTTCTAGGTAGTCGAGACTCCGTAAGGGAGATATATCTGGCCGGCTAAACCCCGGTGCAGATACTCGACTAACACGTGACTATGGACCAACAGTAAGAAAACACAATTTCTTTCGATGTTAGAGCTATCCTTTCTATTTTGATTCCATCTTTTGTAACACGTACAATGCACCTTCGCACGCGTTCCTTAGGTCTGTTCGGCAGGCTGGCCTTGTAGCGTAGCTAATAATACCTTATTATTAGTGTGGCCCAATATGGTTGTTGTGGAGTCCCCATGTCTCCCTACGCATACAAAGCCACAAAGTACTTATCCATGCATGGCATGAAACAGAAAATCCAGCGACACTTCGAAATTACAACGATTGAATGTGGACGCACTGGCCGACTATGGCTTTCAAATCTCAGTATCTGAGCTTTACAGACCTTGGGCTATATGATAACACATTCCGCAACGCAAAGCACGTAGAACGACAGATTCTTCCGCAGGTTTACAGAAGTGGGATCTGGCCAGGCTTTTCAAGTACTTTGCCGCGCATCGATCACATTGGGAGATGGATTCGGTAGGAATTACTATATTTCTTTGGAAGATCCACATTTCTATATGGCCAGGCTGACAGCTGCGTCAGTAAGTAAGGCTCTTTGTTTTCAGCAGAGGGCCCTTGGGCTACCTATTTAATATATAACCAGTTCTCGCGACGTTCATATTTCGGACTTGAGGGCGGTAATCGCCATGACACAAGCAAGAAGAATACACAGCTGACCGAACAAGCAATGCTAGTATTCCCGAGTTTCCAAGCATCCGCCTGGGCGGGAAGTCAATCTGGTCGTGGAATATTTCCGGCGACGGTGGCAAATTCAAAAAGCTCAATCTAGTGTCAAATCCACATCCCTTGATACCTGGAGGCTCGATCCACGTGGAGCTTTAGGCATGTTTTTATGTTGATCAAGTGAACTCTAAACAACCTCGATAAGAGCAGGCAGACCGCTTTCGTAGAAGAGCGGGATATCGCGGATGGGACAATGGCATCAACTTTCCCGGACACCGCTCCTACTGTGCAAGGTAAAGTTGCCTTGCTGCACGACTTCATCTTCACTTAGCGACCCAGAAATACGGGATTGATTCAGATATGAGATTGCAGGCATCCCTTATGCTCCCAATTTCAAAGATGGAGTGTTCTGCTAGTATTTCACCTTCTAAGATTGGATGTGTCGGCGCTGAAGAACAAAACCGACTGCTAATAAGCTGGCGTGGCCGCACGGATGGTTGCCATGCTTTGTAGAAGAAGGTAAATCTACCCCAGTTCGTTCATTCACTGGCGTAATTGGATAAACATTCCATGAGCGGCTCCATTCAAAGACGTGTTGATTCACTGGCACACCCCAACACACATCACCCGACTGCCTCCATTCACAGAAGCTCAAGTACAGAAACCGACATGTACTTAAGCCTTCAAATAATTGCTTCTGACCTCCACTTCTATTCTGTCTCTTGCCAACTTCAAGAACCGTCTATTCAGAAATTCTCAACATGACTCTTAGCAAAGCGCCAAAGTCAGATGAGATCGTAGGTAGTACTATCTACTTGACCTTCAACCGACCCCACACAGACAATTGTGTAAGTCTCTCCTCTTTGCCGCTCTTCACATTTGATCTACTAACAATATATAGCATCGTAGCATCCTCTGCACCAACCCTGCTACACAGAACGACCCCGTGTCAGGTAATCTGTTCCACGTCGAAAACGACACAGATCCAGCTGCCTCGAAAGGTATCTTCACAGAGTATGCTCGATCTGGCAAATGGTCTTTTCGAGAGCGACGCTCTAGAAATCCTGCTGGTGCCGAGTCCCTTTTCTATGCTCAGAAGATTGGCAACATTGCTCCCTCTCTGCATGATAAGGTACTAGATAAGATTCGGAAGGCTCTGACGGATGTTCCTATTGGGAAGGAAAATCGGGAGGCGAAGTTGGGGAAGCTGGGTAAAGGAGAGGGAAACCTGGACTTGGATGGCTATGATTGTGTTATCTGGACCATTGATGCTATGAGAAAGCTGAGTAAAGAGGGTATCATCAAAATTGATGAGGATGCTGCTGGTAAGTTTTTCCCAACCATAAGAATATTTAAGGACTTAGTGACTTGGTGAGAGTTTGCTGAGCTCGGCTAATATTCTTGCAGTGTTGATGGCGGAAGCGAGAATCTCAGCATGGCCTGGACCTATCGAGGAACTTATCGCTCAATCTTCAAGAAAATAGGCTGGAAGAAGTGTAAGATATGCTGAATTCCATGTTTCTCGCTGGCGCATCGGACATGCGTCAAACACTAGATATTAGCGATCATCGCTGGAGTAGCAAGTGGTACATGTACTGCCTCTTGGTACGGGGAGAATGACTTCCGTCATTGGAACAACATCAAAATATTGAGCAAGAAATACAAACTCCACCTCTCTGTAATACAAGTAATAAGTTGTCGATACTCGTCTAGAAATTACTACCCGCGGGAAAAATCCGTAAGGCCGTGCTACCGCTCCACTCCGCAAGCCGCCCATTTGCAAAGCGCAGCAATTTGCATATTCTACTTCCAGTTCATCTTATTTGATGCCTTTATGAGCCAATATCAACTCTAGTCGAGGCACTTGATTTTCCATTTCGGCAGTAGTACAGAGACAACATGGCGTTTGGTGATAACGAGCGATACGTCATGTTCATGTGGCTACCCGATTTCAATTTCTAGCTAAGCGGTATGAGCCGACGTCCGAAGCATCAGAAACCAATTAGATAAGCCCAACTTCCCGATAATCGCCGGTCCGAGCATCGAGACTGCCATACCGGACATCTTCGTGCGAGGTGAAGTCGTTGAAATTTGTTTTAGCGAAGCCGGGTCAAGAGTAACAGGGAGTTTCTCCTCCTTTGTGTATGCAAATGTAGACATGACTGTGGTTTATACTTTGACGAGACGAAGCAAAGAAATATTGTCAGAATCTCGTGAGGAAGAGCAGGTGAGGTGGAAACTTTGTGTTATAAAGACAATGTCATTATACCTAGGTTTATGTGCATTTGTAACTACCGATCTATTCCGAAAGCAAGGAAGAATGACTAAAAAGAGGGCTTAACGCTGCCGCAAGACAACCCTACCAAAATCACATCAAATTTGTATATGTCTACACTGGATGGTTTTAAGAGCTAGCGTATGATTGGACGATCAAAACACGTGAAGAGGATTGCTCTTATCGATTCAAATAATTGCTAAGCTATTAGGAGAGGTAAGGTAATTGGTCAGTTAACCGATTCGACATCTTCAAAATTTTGAATCTTTGAACTTTTGTAGCCACAGGGGGGCGGGGGGACCGAAGGGGCCGCCCCGTCAGTAGACATACTGAGTACTCTAGAAGGTGTTACCGAAGTTATACTTTCTAGGCCGTGCACTCTCGATACTTTATGGCTATTTTGTGAGTATTTTCCCCAGTAAACTATACAGTATTGCTTTATCATTGTATAGCACCCCTTGTATAGACTCTCTGTAAGGGGTGGAGTAGCAGAAACCTGTAGAACAACGCACAGACTCTACTTTGCACATTATTTTCGCCTTGTACCAAGTACTCTACTTCTCTATACTATAGTAATCGTCTGTGATTATGAATTGTTCACCTTGCTTTCGGACTCGTACTAGTGGCTACACTATCACCCCAGCCAGTTTGTAGACTCCTCTGGGAACGTGACACCAATCGAAGCCAAGAAAATTATGTACGCAGTAGCACCTTAGTGAGAGGTTGCTAATTTCAGCTGAGTTTCCGAAGTCTTCATGCCAGAAGTGCAGACTTCCGTAGGGCTGGGAAATAACATGACCTTGTGGCTCATTTTTCGGTCATGTAGATCGCAATGGGGGAGTTGATACATCACCACTGTTACATACGGGAATTCAATATTTCCATTTTGGAACTTTAGCTCATGGTATATCTGATGTCGATATTAGCCATATATTCGCTTACCTACAATGGGAAGGCGAGGAGTTACTTATTGTCACGGTGCACATTTACTGATCCAGAAGTTGATCTTGAAAATTCACAAAGACATTGAAGCGAAACGACGATTTGACCTGCAATTTCCTCTCTAAAGTTCTTCAAATTCCCATCTTTTGCATTCGCTAAAGGGATGTCTCACATATAGTCTGTACGTTTTTGAATCCCGTCGCCCAATATTTTCGGGAACCACATGTACCTACATATGACAAGGAAACTTGTACAAAGCATTATTTGCAGTATGCATGAAATCTTCAACGATGTAAGAACAAGCAACAGAAAGACAAAATGTATGTAAACAAATCATCCAAGAACAAAAGAAAAGATAAATGAAGAGTGACCGGACAAAGAGAAAATGATAGAGGTGCTAAAATAATCTACCAAAAGACTGAATTAGAGTTACACTTCATAATACTAAGATTATGTACGATTGTCTATAACCTTGGGAACTCCAAATGGCAGCGTACGTATAGAGGTGGTTGAAAGAACAGTCTAAATCCAAGAGTACTTAGATCTTAGTTACTAGATATTATTTAGCTCATACCCTATTCTTGCAAGGGCAGGAGTTGTCTTCGAGCCCTGAGGATCTCGCTTAGCAGTCATATCAAGCAGAACTCGGCTGAATGAACTTTCTCACACAGCCTTGAGAGAGCATTTTTATTTTACTTACATATACGTAGATAAGTACTGTTTCCACATCACAATAGTGATTCTTCTAGTCTGGGAGTCTGGCCGAGTGGTGTATGTGCTACTGCTCTATGAACAAATCAGTCATGAACTAATGAACATGTAGTAAGGCGCTGTGTTTAGGCTGTCGAAAGACTGTCATAACGATCCGCAGTCATTCGTGGCGCAGGTTCGAATCCTGCGGCTCTCAATAAATCTTTTGCGGTTCTCTTTTTGGGAATTGCGCTAGTAGTTATGAAGTTATTATGGCTTGAAGAACTTTTTTACCTTTCTCATCCTTACTCGTACTTTTAGCGTGGCTAGGCGACACACGCGGCCGCAAGTCTCTCATGGCAGGCTTCTCACCTGTGGGCACGAATGACTGTGGACCGTTATAACAAAGAGTCTTTCGACAGCCTACCTAGGTACCTAAACCTTACCTGGTGAAGTAAACAAACCTCGTGATGGATCTCACTTGATTTTGTTTTCAAGTCCTACAAGTAAGGCAAGGTAATCAGGGTTCCCGACAGAAACGACTTGACTCGTAATCCTTTAACGTGGCGTGTAATAGTCAGGTAACCTGAGAGACGTTTTTGAAGATACTTTACTTATTTAGTTATGGCTACCTAAGAGGGAACATGCCTCAATGTACCCAAAGTGATTCATCTCAAGATTTAACATTTCTGACAAACGAAGATGATTTCCGGTTGATTAATCCATCAATTCTAAGGATTGTAGCAGTGAAGTATGCTCTGGACTGTTTCAAAGCTAGGTAGGCTCCAGCATTTCTGCCAAAACACATTCGGGGTTATGTTATTATACTAGGCCCTTCCTCCTGGCTGGTATCTTCAACTTCTCACGTTCTCCAATTTGCTCCAGATTTCGGAATTAAGCACATTCTCGCCCCTTGATTTGTACAGGGGGTGGTTCCTTTGTTCTGACAAGTGACCATTATCCTGAGGCAAATTGTCCCTGCTGCAGTCCCTTGCTGCCCTGCTTAAGGCGGTTCGTCCAGATGCTTTCCCAGCGTTTGTCTCTCCAATTTCCTGGGCTTCCTTCAACCTGCCAGTGGATTCGCATGCATCGTGACGCTCTCAATGGTGATCTGCTCCTTCGGTCGATTCTTCTTATCCACCTCAACCTTCTCCATCTTCGCCAAAGTTGCCAAACTATCATCTCCCAGCACATGCCCAAACACGGTATTCTTCCCATCCAAATGCGGCGCCTTGTCAAAACAGAAGAAGAATTGACTACCGTTCGTTCCTGGTCCTTTGTTTGCCATGCTGACTATTCCTCGGGCGTTGTGTCGCAACGTAGGTCGAATCTCGTCCTCAAATGGCTCTTCCCATATCGATACGCCTCCTTTGGGTAGAGAGGGAGGAGCACCGGTTTGAATCATGAAGCTTGGAATGAGTCGGTGGAAGGCAGAGCCATCGTAATAGCCCGAGGCGCAAAGAGCGAGAAAGTTCTAGGAATTGTTAGCTTTGCGCCACACAACTTCATGGATTGCCCCCTCACCTCTGCTGTTTTGGGCACACTCTCGCAAAAGACCTCCACCTTGATACCACCGAAGTTTGTATGTAGAGTGACAGACATATTAAAAGCGCGTGGTGGATGACATTCACATTGTTAAAGGATTGCAATTGTCCATGATGGTAAGGCTGAAGGATCGCGGAAATGACAATAGAACCTGAGGCGGTCCCAGCCCCGCCCTCTGGCAGTCGGAAAGAAGACAGCCTGAAGTTGGTTAACCTTCGCCCTGACCATACCGGTACCCGACCAGACTTGCCTGCTCCAGCTGATATCATATCATACTGTACATACTGTACCGGGTACACCAAAGCTTAAAGTGCCATCAAGGCAGCCAGCCATAAGCACATACCTACCCTACCTATATCCTTGCACATCCAGGATCCAGATCTCATCTCTCCCCGCGCAAACAAACATAACAAAGAAACCGCATCTCATCTTCATTCTAATCATGCAATAGCCTCGCCCTTTGAGCCTCAACTCATGCAATTCCACTCATCGTCCATCCATCCCATATTGCCCTTCTGCTACCACTAAGCGCCCAACAAAACGACGACGACCCCTCCATCTTTTCAAAACAAGCAATACACACCATAAACAAGGCGGCTTAGCCTTGCGTACCGGGGACGACGAGCCCTCTGGGACTCCGACCACCCTTTACTCCAGTCCGAGCCTAGCATTGTAGTCCCTATGACCTCCAGATTACGATAAACAAATCTGGTCGGTCAACACTGCTATCAACTTGGCGCAAAACGCGCGTTGGCGCTGCCAGCGTGAGCCCGAGACAAGATGGCTGCTTTTGTCAGAGTCTCGGGGCCGCCAAATAGTAACTTTCTCGTGGGATATCCTGGGATTTCGGCGACCCTTGTAAGCTTCGATTTTGCTGTTAAGGCCTTTGATCGTGCTGGTACTAACGGCGTTGTCCTCAGCCTCGCATAGAAGGCAAAGTCGAGATTAGACCCCTCACGGGCATATCTGCGCCAGTTGCCATATCTCTGGTACGCATATGTTTACAGAGACGAGAAACGATCCATCCCTCAGCCGAGTCAATAGCGAAGAAACATCTAGGTACGCCGAGAAGGGAAACTACAGATGTGGTGGGGAAAGAGCTACTGCTGTTCAGATGTCCGGCTGGGAGGGAATCCGAGAGCGTGGTGCTGATGGATTTACCTTTCGTGCTGTTCATACCCTTTGGGAGAGGAGGAGAAGAAACGAATAGAAGGATACCCCCAGCTTCGTTACAGCTTCCGAGTCGAACAGTCGAGACATTCTACGAGTTGGTAGTGACGGTTCAGCAAGGCCAGGAACAGAAGAAATTCGCATTTCCGGTGCCGATCCAGAGATATGATACCCTTTCGACGTTTGGAATGTACAATCGCCCCGAAGCAGCGGAGAAGACTTCAGATCATTTGGTTACCCTGGGCATATCGTTACCTCGGTGGTCCTACGGTCCCTTGGACCCTGTGAGCGTCTACATAAAACTCTCACCAAATCCGGATTGGATGACCAAGGCAAAGAAGGTCACAATCCAGAAGATCACAATTGGGATAGAAGAGGAGATTACATACAACCCAGAAGGGGACGAGCCAACAAAAAAAGTCAATCGAATAGCCAAGCATACGCAGACGGTGGGAGTGAGGATGCCGGAAGCTGGATACTTTACGAATCTGGGCCTTGTCTTTCCTTCTAAGGAGGTACGGGACCCGGAGGGTATCATACGGCGCGGAAAAGCTGCATTTCCAATGTATGCGGTCAGCTCATTCACCACTACAGGAACTCTTTACAAGATTGAGTTCTTCTTGATCATCAAAGTATACAAAACCCTCCCAGTTCTGACTGTCATACTAACAGAATTAGGCACATATGTCAGGAGCTAGAGACATTGTCTTGAGGCAACCAATTGTAGTATGTCCAATCGATCAACAGGACTGTAAAGAGGAAATGGACGCTATTGAGCAAGCCGCTAAAGACGCATCACACGTCGATCCACACAATCCTATGTTACCAGCTTGCACGATAATACGAGCAAACGACAAAGATGCTTTGCGAGCCTTGGGATGGACTATGGTGGGCGGACAAAGAAAGATGGTAATTGAGTGACGCGATCACATGCATAGGTATCGATTTTATGGAAATTTCGTCCGTGACGACTCGTGTTTCGCAATCTCCGCGCTCTGCTTCCAGGTCGTTTGGAGGAGCGAAAACACCATGATGAGGCGGGGGGGGGTAATCGAAGATCAGTCACGCCAAAACATAGCGGCGGCAAGAGATTTTGGTTCAGCTAGCACAGGGAGGAGCGCCATGATTCCACGTTGACTGAAGGATACCGTCGAGTAATGAATTGGAGATGCTGGGACGGAAGCAAAGCGAGGATTCCAGGATAAGCAAGATGCACAGGAAACGATACCATACGATCTTGTGGGGAGTTTTATACCGACATGATCAGAGCTGATGGGCAGCCCATCAATTTTGCGGTTATATTTGATGGATGGACATGATGGATGGATTTGTATGATCATGAGTAATGACCATTCTTGTACGAGGCAACCAATCTTCAGTTGATAATGATAAGAGATAAGCCTCTACGACGGGTTAAAGAAAACAATCGAAAACGTACATAAATGGACCGAGCTTTTCTCGCATGTCTTCGAATTTCTAGATTCTGATTGTGGTGCGTCTATGTATCTGCGGACTTCCCCATGCGGCTGACAACAACGGACCCGTGAAGTCAGCTGAGGCTGAGACCGATATAGCGAGGCACTTCTATAGGCCGGCTCATCATTAATGCAACATCACCAGAATTTATTCCACTATCCATACTTTCGAAGTCGTTTGGAGGGACTGTGGAGACTGAGCGTCCATGAGATCTCTAAAGATTCCATAGGCACGTCTGCCACTCCACAGTATACTCCATAGACCATACCAAGTAGCGATATTTTTTTCCGGGCGGTCAACACCGTAATCATTTACCGCTTCAGGGCGTCGCTTTCTCTCTGCCGACTACTGTATTATCTCATCCATCAGCAATTCAGAGACGAAGAAACGACTTCTGGTGATTATTTTCACCATCCTAGCAGCTGACTACATCCTATCGATCAACGACAGCGCCAATTAAATTACTTCATCCGTATGCTTGAGCCTCGTGAGATCTACCAAATTTATGTGAACCAACCCCGGCTCAAGAATTCACGGTGTCATTCCTCGGCGCCCAGTTTTGCTTCGGCATATCTTGTTAGTCCTGCAGAGCTGCATAGTGGTCTGTCTACCTGCCTTTCGTTGAGATTTCTTAGACTAACCTATGGACTGTGAGACCATGTAGCGGAGAGCGTACCTTTTGTGGGCGAAATCGAGATGAATATCAGCAATGCGATGGTATGGGCAGATGTATTATGTTTGGAATCAGAATTGAGTAATGGGCTTGGTAAGGGAAATGGGAACGTGCTCTACTTTGGTAAATATGCCGCGCATGAAGGCTTGAGGGCTCTTGGGATGGAGGTGAATGGTTATATAGTATCTCCTTCAAACCGTATCTCTTACTATTCAATTTTGTAGCTGTGTTGACTTGGCTCCTCCCGAAGCATCTACTTGGACCAGAGTGCTCGAGCTAAAACGAGTACACAACTACCTAACACCAAGGAGAGAACTCGCAAGCAAGGCTTCCCCAACGGATGAAGTGATAGC